TGGACCCCGCGCGGATGAGCCTGTGCAGCGCCGGACAGGACACGGACATCACCGTCTGGGACCTCGTCAGCCACGAGGCCGAGTTCTCCCTCAGCGGCCACCGCGGTGGCGTCGTGTCGCTCTTTCTGCCACCACAGGCACGCGAACGCCTCGTGAGCGCGGCCGCGGATGGGCTGATTAAGGTCTGGAACGTGGCGCTGCGGCAGTGCGTGCAGACCATCGTCGTCTCCGACGCGCAAATCACCGCCATGGTGGCGGACTGCGAGGGCCTGAGACTTTACTGCGGCCTGCGTGAGAGCGTGATTAAGGTGTATAAGCTAAACTATGGTAACGACGAAGAAGCCTCCTTGACCATGACCAGCCGAGCTACCGCGGCGGCGGCAATTGCTGAAAAGGATAATGATGGGAATTTCATCGTCGATCATGGTTCAATCGCTCGCCGATACCACAAACCAATCACGGCGCTGAAATTTTCACCGGACTCAAACTATATCCTAGCATGTACGAGCAAAACTGTGGAGGTGTACCGCATTTTAAGCGCCGAAGGTGTGCGAAGAAAGGTCATTCGGAAGAAGAAGCGCCAGCGGGAAGTGTTAGAAAAGCGACAGGGACGTCAGAACAACGAAGCACACGAAGATGCGGCGGAAGAGGAGGGCGCCTCGAAGGAACATGATGAACTCGACAAGAAATCCTCAAAACGACGCACACATAAGCGAATAATGAAGAGCAATGATGAGGAGAAGAGCGAAGACGATGCACCGGAGAGCATCTCCAATGAAGCCAATGAAAAAAGGCATTATGCCGCGACTGCCTCGGAGGAGGTCACGTTACTTCGGACTTTCTTCCTCACAGAACACAAAGTACGCGCTGCCTGTTTTGTACCGACGCCAGAAGCTGTGCACGACCCCGACGATGACGACGCCGGTGATATGCTTCACATTGCCGTCCTTTTCAATAACAACTCAATCAAAACCTACACGACACGTTTGACATTAAACAATGCAGAGGGATCGGCGACGTGGACCCTTGATGACCTCAAGGCTCGGTATACGCTCGGGCAACAAGTCCATCAGAGCGAAATCCGAGCCCTTAGCTTTGTGGACAACGACTCCGCCCTCCTATCACTAAGTAAGGAAAAATTACTGTTCTGGAGGCTCTCCGTGAAGGGAGATCTTCTCGAGCGTGATCATCTAGATGATCACGACTTTTACGATGCGAAAGAGGCCAATCTGTCGCGCATCACCTTCAAGGGATCTCTTAACTGCTATAATAGCAGTGTAGACTGGGGAGAGGCGGGTGATGCCGCCGCAGAGGCTGTCTCGATGGCGGCGATCTCGTCCAGTCTTTGCTGTGTAGGTCTCAGCAATGGTACCGTGTGTTTGGTGGATGCGGCAGCTTCAGAGATCACATTCGTTGAGCCATTATTTCATGCGCATGGTGTCAAAGCTGTAGTGGAGCGTCCTGATAAGTCGGGATTTCTAACACTTGGCTCGGACTGTCGTGTGGTTTTGTGGACACTGGGGCTGATGGCGGTGAGTCTCGAGAATGGTGAAGACAATCGCATCTCAAAGCCAAGTAGCTCAACAAATCCAAAGCAAGTCACCTTGCTGCTATCCATGGAGATTGAACTTGCAGAACTTCCATTATTCGCGCAGTTTAGTCCAGATGAAAAGTTCCTTGGTGTAGGACTGAATAACCACAATATCCAGCTTTTCTTTGCAGATACCCTAAAGCCGTACCTACTGCTCTTTGGGCACAAACTTCCGCCGACTTCGCTATCCTTCTCGACAGACGGGACCCTGGTCGCCTCTGTTGGGATGGATAAGTCCCTGCGTTTCTGGGGCACCGACTTTGGTGACTGTCATCGCGCCATCCACGCACACGACGATTACATCACACAAGTAGAGTTCGTGAAGGACACCCACTACGTCTTTACAGTTTCCATGGACGGATCAGTTAAGCAGTGGGACGGCGACAACTGGACAATGATTCAGCTCTTCCGACAGCACCAACGTGGCCTATGGGCGGTGGCGGTCACACGAAATGGGACCTGCGTCGCGACTGCGGGAGTCGACAAGTGCATCCGGTGCTTCCTGCGCACGCAGGACATCATCTTCCCCACGGAGGAGGAAGAACGCATGGCGCAGGAGGCCATGGACGAAGAGGCGGCCCAGCGGGCGACCCTGCAGAAGCTGGCCCAGCAGCAGCACGACGGGCTGGAGGCAACACTTGCGGGTCAGCAAACCGCCGCCACCGCAGAAGCTGCGGAGCGTCTGATGGAGGCCCTCGATCTGGTCAGCGTGGAGTTGCAAAGGCAGCAGAACAAAGGAGATACCACGACCACGAGGCATCCCTTGCTGGTTAACAGCACCGAGTGGGCGTATCTGTGGTCAGTGATCGAGAGTATTAGGCCCAGTGAGCTGCGTCACTCGCTTTCCTGTCTGACAGGCGTACATGTGCATGCACTGCTAGATTATTTGGATGGAATGGTCGAAAACAAGGCAGTGCAGAGTTACGAGATCGCGGCTAAGATCCTGCTTGCCTTGGTGATGCCCGCTCCAGGGCAGACACCCAGTAGCATAGGGCTGCGCACGGCCGCCACCCACGGCGAGGTCTCCGAGGTTCACGGCGCACGGCGACTGGAAAAGCTTCGGCGGGCCATCTCATACGGACTCGACCAAACCGTCAGCCGTATAGACTATAATATCGCCGCCTTGCAGATTGTAAGACGGTATATGGAGGAAGCTGACAAGGTTAAGTTCTTCGATCTCAGCAAAATACAGGGTTACAAAAAGAAGTACCACAGTCAAGCGTTGCCGCTGGCGACCAGAAATGAGTGAGATTTGAGTGCTGTATAATGGGTTATGTGAGGAAAATGAATAAAAAGTGCACCCTCTCCCATGAATATCCCTTTTAAATATAAGCGGTTAAGAACGAGGAAATATATATATATATATAACATGGATATGGTGCATGCATGTCCATATGTACTTGTTCATAGTTAAAGTACACAATTCAACGTGACGTACATAATCCTTTTGGACTTTCATAATAAAGAAAAAAAAGCTCCAATAAATGAATCCTAAGAATATCCATAACACTAGTTTATTTCCTCTTTAAACTGAAATAAAAAGGAGG